TTTGGGACTCAGACCATAAGAAGGTGTAATATGGGGGGGGGGGGGGGGGGGGGGGGGGGGGGGGGGGGGGGGGTAAGCCCTAAGGTATTTGGAGAAAGACTTTTTTCTCTCACTTGTTTGTAATATCTTTATTTAGTATTCCTTAAGATTCAAAGTCCTAGGCTTAGTGAGTATTCAAGTTTCCTGCCTGAGAGTAGCACTTGCAAATTTAAAGACAGGAGGAAGCTGAGTTGATAACTTTCCAGACCGTTCCCGTTCCACTGGCAGGCACCTGTGGCTTTCGTTTCTTTCTTGAACTGAAGAACGGAGGGAAGCCCACCCAAGCTGCCTTTCTTGGTCTGAATCCCTGGCCATTTTCAAGGTCCTTCCACTACCTCCCCTCTCCCAGGGTGTATGCGTTAGATCAAACATTCTTGGTAAACCCATCAGTGGCTTTTCATGACATTCGGGATACAGACCTAACTACCAACTCACCCTACCCTGCCATATGTGATCTAGCCAGTCTCTGCCTCTCCAACTTCCTCTCTCCTCTCTCCAGGAGACTCTGTGGACTCCGGCCACAGCTACTTGCCTTCAGCTTCTCCAAAGCTCCACGGCCCTGAATACTCTTGCCGCCTCTCCTTCTAGGCAACCTTCACTTTTTCAGGGAACCCCCCACCCAGCTGCATCAACACCCACGCTCCCTGCATCAACACCCACGCTCCCTTAGTGTTCTCTCACCTTGCATCCTGTGTTTTCTCTTTGTAGCAATTGTAACAATTGTGATTACTTGTATAATGTCTGGCTCTTCAAGGAGAATGTAAACTCCAAAAGATTAGGAAGCAAGTCTGTGTTGTTTGTCTTTATCTCCTAGGCTCCAGCACAGGCATGGCACCTAGTTGCTGCTCAATACGTTATTACTAAATGAAAAAAATGTTCTTTAGCACACATATACCAGGTGCTGTTCTAGGCAATTGATGTATAATAGTTGAAGGAAAAGCACAATAGAAAAAAAAAACTCACTGCCATTATGGAGTATCTGTTCTACTGGGGCAAGGATCTGCTAAATAAGATAAGTATGTTACATGGTGATAAGTGCTAAGGAGAAAAAAGTAAAGCAGGAAAGGGGGGCATGAGGCAGGATGTGGGCTGGTGCGTGACACTTTTAGATTGGGTGACCAGGGAAAATTTCACTGAGAATGTGACTTTTGAATAAAGACCTGAGGAAGGAAGGCAGCTGACAGCGTGTGTATCTGGGGAAAGAGCATTCCAGGCAGAGGGAACAGTAAGTGCGAAGGCCCTGAGGCCCTGAAGGCAGTAAAGTGTTCCAGGAGCAGCAGAGAAGCCATTTAATGAGGGGAAGGGAGTCAAAATGTAGTCTTTTAATCTGTCCCATGTATCCATGGAATCCTTTACACCAGACATTTCTTGGGGAGTGCTTCTAAACAGCATCTACACTAAAACCATGGGTTTCAAATTATTTTTTAAGTAGTAGAATCCTTCCTTCAAATAAAACATGAAAAGGAAGTTCAAGATAGGAAACAGAGGAGTGAGAAGGGGCTGTCAATTCTCACTTGTCCCCTCACCCCACACTGGTCCAAGGCAACGCCTTGGGGGAACATTTGTTCCCCACTCAGCTCAGGTTGAAAACCAGCACTCTAGAATCACAGAACTCTCTGCCTAGAGCTACACTGCTCTAGAGATCGCAGCTCCTCAGGTAGTTCCATCTGGCTCCTGTAACTGTGAGGAGACTTTTCAATGCACATTTACCTCCGACATCTGAAAGAAATTAGAGCCTCTATGTTATAATCACGTGGTGACCTGTGGGTCTGGTAAACTCCTATAAATAAATCCACTATTCTGGAACCTCCTTTTTCTTAAAAACACTTTAAAAACTTTCTTTTTTGAAAAGGTAACACAGGACAAAGATACAAAAAGATATACTAAAAAAAGTGAATCTCCTATGGATAAATTATGGTGTATTTGCAGTGGAATTCTACACACTTAAGCAAACAAACAAGAATGAACTATGGATGTAGGCATCAACGTGGTTAAATATCACAACTATGTTGAGCAAAAGGTGCCAGCCAGATGCAAGAGTGCATTCCATATGACTCATGTATATGACATCCATGAACAGCCAAACTAATCTTCGGTGACAGAAGTTGGAATAGTGGTTACCTGGGGGGGAGAGGAGTAACCCACTGGGAGGATGAAAATGCTCTACATCTTAATCCGGATGGAGGGTACAAGGGTGTAAATAGATGCACTGAGCTGCAAAGTGAAGATGTGCATTTCTTACTCTATGTAACTAATGATAATAAAGCTAATCTCCTTTCCACTACTGTGACTCCCTGCTATCCAGTTTTCCTCCCCAGAGGCTACTCCTCCAGCTGGGATTTCTTCTCTTTTTTTTTTTTTTTAAAGATGACTGATAAGGGGATCTTAACCCTTGACTTGGCGTTGTCAGCACCACGCTCAGCCAGTGAGCTAACCGGCCATCCCTATATGGGATCCGAACCCGGGGCCTTGGTGTTATCAGCACCACACTCTCCCGAGTGAGCCACGGGCCGGCCCCAGCTGGGATTTCTTAATCCTCCTTTTCTCTCAGTACCTTCACACCAGGGGCAGAGTCCTGGGAGCATGCCAGGCAGACACCAGGGCCAAGGCTGCACATGGCATGGCTGCATTGGGCCATGACTGTGTGCACGCCCCTTGGCTTTCTCTGGCCCCTCTGCCCTTGGGCTCCACACCTCCCGATCCTCCACCTCCTTCCTCCTCCCTCCTGTGGCAGGGAGGCTTGGCAGGTTGCTACTCTTGCTAAACAGTGTTGCTCTTCCTGGCCCTCCAGGTTGTGCTTGCCTGAAGAGAACATCTTGTGCTGATCACGCTTATCACTGACACATTCCCTCCCTCTATTATTTTCTCCCTTCTGATCCCTGGACTGATCCTAGGACTTCTAGCTCCCTGAGTGCTGAGTTTCAGTGAGTTTCCCTGGTTTCATGCACTGGTGTGCTTCCCTTTACGGGGACAGATGACCTGATAACAACCTACTTTGTGTCTTCATATAAACCGGGCTTAGGGTCTGGCTTATCTTCCCTCCACTCCCCACCCCAGCCCCCAACTTCTAGCACCATCCAATGACCCTGTCCCTCCCCCCACCTGGGCCTTCAGCTCTACGGTGCTGTTCCTTTCATCCTAACATCTGGGGTCTTCCCCCTACCATGCCTCCCCAGTGCCTGAGGACAGAGAGTCCTGTGTCACGTTGAAGTCAATTTGGCAAGCATTCTTGGAGTAGGACAGAAAATGAAGGGAACTACCTGTTTCTCACCTTCAAAAATCTAATGCGGGAGAAAGGGTGCACAACCCAGGCCCAGTTATAATGGCTCCCAACCCAATACCTTGTGTTGGTCCTTCCTAAGTGCCAGGCACTGATCTGCGTGCTTTCCAAACATTATGTCTCTGAATTTTCAAAACAACCCCAGGAGGAGAGTTATTAGCCCCATTTTGAAGACGAAGGAGCTGAAGCGCAATATTAGAACGCTTGCATGTGGTCGCCAGGATTTGAATAGCAAATTCCCTTGGGAAACGCCCTATTTATGCTCAGTGGGGATCTAAGGAGGAGTCAGCACGCGGGAGCTCGCCCCCGGCCTTGGGGGTATTTAGTTCTGCCACACCCTTTCTGCCTCGTTCCCTCCCGCGTCAGGGGCCTGGGGGTGGATTTCAGGCCAGCGTCTCGGCTGGAGGAAGGGACTTCAGGAAAGGCAGATACAAAGCTCCGCGTGGCAGAGGAGCAGAAGGACGTGGGGGAACCAGGGCCAAAGGAAGCCCTTCTGGTTCCCGGGGCATTGCCAGCCTCGAGGCGCTGCGAGTGGCGTGGTTGTTGCAAACCCCCGCGGCGCGCGCAAACTGCGTGGAACTACTTCCCCGGGGCAGCTTCGGGGCTGGGGTTCGGGCGACAGCCCCACGGGGCGGCCGTGCAGACCCGAAGACCGTTGTCGGCTCCCGGGCGCGGCCACGTGCACCCAGCCGGGCTCGCACGCTCCGC